ACAAATAACAAAGAGCAGCTAAAGAGCTCGAAAATTTAGGATCATCATTAATTGGGAATTGTCCCGTAAAACCAGCCTTTTGTTGGCCGCCGTATCAGCCCAAGCAATATGTTGCACATTTTATGCTCGTTTTCCATGTTTAGTGTATATTTTTTTTTTTCAATGAAAAAATTATCTAAACTAATATACTTATAATTGTTTTACTTTTAAAACCTTTGGCTCACATTTTTTTATCGAGAAATACTATAGGTATATAATAATGTACACAACAATCACATTAAATGGGTCCTATCAAAAAAAAAAAATAAAAATAATCAAGTGGACCCTACACCATGTGAGAGTTATGTACATCTCTATATACACGGAGACTAACAATAAAGTAGAGCGCAAACAAGCAATTATTTTAGAGCATATAAAGAGCACAAAGAAAAAACATCGAAAGAGACAATCATGGTGACATCAATGTAAATTCTGTGGGCAATATAAACTATAAAAATGTCTATCTATTACATCTGCAAAAAAAGGACATCAAAGTACCTACACAACTTCTAAAAACTAATAACAGGCAGGCAAATACAGTCGCTGAATTTAGCCAGGCACACACAAATATCATTCTCCGAACGGCATAAAAATGACATAAGTGAAAATTCTCACACGATTATTATCAAGAAAATTGTAAATCATAGAACCAGGAATAGCAAAGACGTACAAGAACAGTTATAACACAAGAACTATTAACTTCCGAGAATTCTTACCTCTTCCTTTGAAATTTTTCCCCAGCAGCGAAATTTTTCACAAAATCAAACCGAAATTACACATCAACCAATCCCAATCATCTGACCTGCGAAGGAGAACACAGCAAGCCCGATGCATCAGACCCAATCACCGAGAGATCACACACCGCACATACCTGTCCCTGCTGCGCCGGAACATAGTGGGTCCCACAGTATGGGCACGTCACATCCCTTTGCCCCCTGTAGATCGGTACGTATGTGGCCCCACACACCACAAACGGGTTCCTGAAGTCATAATTCAGCTGCGTTGCATCCTTCATGTTCCTCTCAGCTGCCTGGAGTACCTGGCGAGAAATCCTCGCCTGGCTCTCCACGCTCGGGTTCGTCTCCAGGAGCCTCCTGGCAAAATTCGCGGCTGTACTCAAATTCTGTGCTTTAAAGCATATGGTCATGGCATTCGCTAATGCAAGTCGTGTGTGGGGAAGCTGGAGGTTGCAGTGTGTGAAGTAAGCAGCTAGCTCCTGCTGACGAACCGGATTGTCCTTCAATTCCCTTCTCTTGAGATCCATCTGCAAACCAAGAACGTACTCTCTTACAATCACAATCAACTCCTTCACCTCGTCTACCTCCCTACGAGTATCGACCACTATCAGTGGTATCGTTTGGAGGATGCACAGAAAATTCTTCAGGGCCTCCGAGAATTTCCCAGCTGTCGTGGCCTTGTAGCCAGCTTTGAGTTTCTCCTCCAGCTGTGAGAAATTGAAGATGGGTGCCGGGGGCCCGCGGACGTTTGGACTTGCCGACTCGCTCCAGCCCCTTTCGATCGCGAGCGAGATAACGGGAGCCGAGGTGAAAGCACGTATATAGGTGTGGCTGCCCGCGTATAGGTCAACAAACTGCGATTTCAAAGGGGCAAAATTCGTGATGCCCAGCTGGCGGCTCAGCAGGCGCATGGCTGTATCGAAGTTTCCAGCAGCAACGTGCTCGGCAGCCAGGGACGAACGCTGAACCCAGATCTGGCTAACGGGCATGCCTGGGGTGGGGACCACAAAAATGGACGAACGTGAAGTGTTATCCACCTTGGTTGGTGTTTCGGCTGGGAGGTCGAGGTCCTCGAGGTCCCACCCACCCTCCTCTTCACCATCCTCGTCCTTGTGTGCAACAAGCTCGTCAACTGCCAAACTAATGTCACCATTCTGGATATTGTCCACGTCAGCAATATCAAGGCCCTCACCCCAGTCAGCATCAGCCGCCTCATCGTAGTACTCCACTTCGGAGGGACCCCTGGCCGCCTCATCGAGACCGCCCTCGAATATGCCCTTGCTGACCATCAGCAGGGGCCAGTCCCCTGCGCAAAGCACGGGCTGTGGTGGTATCAAGAGTGAAGCTCTCTTCCACTCAGGAACAGAAGGGACATTATCGCCGAGTTCAGCAGCCAAACGCTCAGCGGCGTCTTGTAAACCGTGAACAGAGGCAGTGATGTATGCGAGGGGCAGGTGGCCAGCATTCTCAAGAATCTTCACGCGCTCGAGAACATCTCCAAGATACAAGGCATCATGAAACTGGCCCATGACATCATTCTTCACCTCAGCAATCTTCATCATCTTGGAGAGTTTATCTAAATTTCCAGTTATGAGGTAGTGGAAGGAGAGCCGCTCAAAGTTTTTGGTCTTCTGGTATGCGTACTCAACAATGCCAGCATTTCCCTGGCGGAGAGCCTCCACACCCAGCCTGTACCAGTGGTCCTTCTCGTCTATTCTCTTGGCGGATTCAAGTGCTTTCTCGATGTTGCCACTCTCAAGGGCGAGGTTGAAGCGGGTCCGCTCGTCCTTAACAAAATAGAGGGCGACCTGAGGGAAACCTTTCTGCTGCAGGTAAGCAATCATGGCCTGCCCGCACAGCTCCGAGTTTTTTATCATGCTCATGACCTGGTCATATCTCTTCTTCAGAAGGGACAGCTTGAACACATACTCTGTAGGGTCAATGATGATGGGGCAGTTTTTCCCATCTCGATCCAGGCAAAAGATTGTGCTCCCATATATCTTGGTGATGTACACTGGGACATCCAGAGTCTTGATAATCCCACTGTCCCCATTGGGAAGGCAGTATTTGATGTGAGTCAAGGTTGTGTAGATAAAGACACCGTTATCCTGCCAGCCCCCGCTCTTGACACGGATAGTCTCATGAAGGGTACAGCGGTGGCCCAGCTTCTTATCAGCAATAACGATCGAGTGTTTGCTCAATAAGGCAACACTCTCCATATCCGGAGACCAGACTACATACCGGACAAAAGAGGTCTGAAGGTCCCCAAGAACAATCCTCTGCTGGAGATCAAAGATGACAACCCTGTCCTCCGACCTGCACAGTAGATTTCCTGTGCCCGCATAGAATATGGCGTCCGTAGCTATAGGGAGAGCGCTCTTTTTCACAATTTCATTTTTCAGGTTCTTGACCAGGACATGGTTGGTGCTCTTCTCAAGCACGGCAAACCTGTTTCGGGCAACAAAGACTGCTGAGCCCCCAACACCTCTTTTTGCATCCTGAACTGTGTCGCCTCTGCCATAGCTATCTTTGGGAATTATGTAAAGCTCGTACGATCCCCCATCAATGTCTGAACAGATCAAGACAGCATTTTCCGTAGGGCTGTAGGAGAGTGCTCGAGGCCCTTGATTCAAGCTATTAGAACCAGGACGACGAATGGGTATCAGCTGTGTGTCTTTCTGTGAAGAATACTCAAATGCACGGAGGAACCTGTCCTTGACATAGAAAAGGGAATCACCGCTAACAGAAAAAGCAGGGCGCTCTCTCTCCAGCTTGAAAACAATCATGCCACTATCATGACCGGCAGCCAGGAGGTTCATCTCAGGATGAGCCGCAAGGATCCAGAACCTGTCGTGCTCTCTACGGAAAGTTTGCAGGCCCGTTCTTTTCGTCGCATCCCAGACTCGGATGCTCTTATCTTCTGAGTTTGAGACAATGATGTCCTGTCTTGTATGGAATAGAACACATGACACGTTGTTCATGTGGCCTCTCAATGTGTCCACTTCCCAAGCCTTTGTATCTGACACGTAATAAACACAGAATTAGACATCAAATTATATTACTTATATACAGACAACACCACATCCAATGTAAGTATTTGATAGATGTAAATTCCTATAGACAGTTCTAAGCAAATTTGGAATCAGTACCAATTTTGAAATAGAAGAACAGAATCAAATATTAACCAAATTGAGAATAGAACCAGAACCTAAGCCTTATCTTTCAGTGTCTCTCATCAAATGGATGGTATATCAAATAAATATAAAATATCCAAACACAAGTACACAAAATTATGTGATTTTCCAAAATAAAGACCCATAAAAATTGCATTGTATAACATGTTATGAACAAAAGGAACTTCAAGAGAAAATGCAACGCCACATCAGTTAACAAGAAAATACATAAAAGAATCTAGTACAAAACCCAACGGATCAGACTCATTGTGGCCCAACATTTCTTTAACATTTAAAATGTTATCTTCATTCCAGTAACATACAATTAAATATACCAAATGCAAATTTATCACGTTACTTGGCTAGACAAAATACGTTCTTCCAAGAAGAATAATATTTCGTAAATATGGTGCTTAGCTGCTAAAGTAATATATTCCATACCATTCATGCGCCAGATTTTAACTTGACGGTCATCTGCTCCAGAAACAATCAAAGGGAGAGTCGGATGGAAAGAAGCCCAGTTAACACCCCGATCATGGCCTTCCAATACATACTTCACAACAGCATCAACCCCACCAAAAAAGTCAGTGTTCATTTGAGACAATCGCAGAATGTCATCAGCAGGGGATACTGTTTTCTTTCTCAACGCGCCGATATCCCAAACACGCACGGTCTGATCCAAAGAGGCTGAAACAACAAGGTCTTCTTTGGGGTGAAACGAGGCACACATAACATAATGATTGTGCCCAGTCAATACAGAAATGCAAGTCCGAGATTGCCAGTTCCATATTCTAATTGTCTGATCATCACTAGCACTTACAATCCAGGGAGACTCATGATGAAACTGAACAGTCCGAATGTAATCAAGATGACCAAGAAGAGTAAACAGACATCTGTGCAGTTTGTAATTCCACACCTTGATTTTGTAATCATCACCTGCCAAAAATCAATTTTTACAACACAAAATTATCAATTTCCTAAGACAATAATGAAACAGACATTCTGCCATAGAAGAATACATATGTGAACATTACAACATGATACACCCAATGATATAGGCAGACAAAGGATAAGAAACTAGTGGTCCATCAATACAGCCTCCTCATAATATAAAGTCCAGTCGAATTCCGGAAAATAGTGGAGGCTGAAATTTTCTACAAATACACTCTCCATGATCACATGCCAAAAAAAAAAACAACAGCAGAATGGAATCTGGCACTTATGTACAGAAAAAACTATACAGACCTTCAAGGCAAGAGATATAAAGGCAATATACAATGAATGCACTTCAGACCTCTTTGTCTGGATGATCAAGATCTGGAACAAATTTTAACTTTAGCGCATGAATTTTGTAATATAAACGGTAAAATCATGTTGGCAGCACTTGCTTAATTCTTGATCCGAGCATAAACTATTTATAATACACAGAAAGGCAAAAAAGCATGTCAGTAGTACTTCACAAAATCGACAACGAATGTCCTAAAGGGTCGCTAACTATAGTTGCGATGAACAGAACTACATTGCCAAACGGCGATCCAAATTGCAAAAGCCCCTCACCAAGCAGACTATCGATCAAATCAAACCATCAATAACAAACTCAAACCATAAGATCCATACTCTAAAACACGCCAGAGAACTCTAATCACCCAAAAACAAACCTAGATCACATCGCAAGAAGGTCAATCCAACACGAACGAAACAAAGTGCACAAATCAAGGATCATTCAACAAATAAACCACACCTCCGGATACAAAAAGCGGCTGCGATCTATGAAACTGGACGCCTCGAACAGGCCCGTCATGCTCTTCAAACCGATCAATGAGAGTGCCCATGCGGTAATCCCAGAGCTGGATCACGCCACTGTGAAGACTCGCCAAGATCCATGGCCTCTTGCTATGGAAACTCAACCCTTTCACCCGATTACTCTTCGTCTCAAACTTCGTCAACATTTCCTTCTCTTCTCCTCCACCGAAAATCACAATATCTGTTAAAAAGAAAACACGAGAACAAGAAAAAAAAGTGAGATCCGCATTCGATCGAAAACGGAAAAAAAAGTTATAAACCCTAATTAACATCTAGGATCATAACCTGGTTTAGATCTGTGAAGAATTTGGGGATTTTGTTCATAAGGAGGTACGTGTTGATACTAATACAGTATACTATACTCGGAGTCTCGTTGAGTTGAAAGTTTACTCCTTTTTATAGGGGCTGCATATTTCCTTCTTCTTTAATTTGGTTGATTACCGTATTGCCCTCGGAAGTAAATGACTCATTTTGTACGTTCTGATTGGACGGGTGACGATTTTAAACTTTTTTGTTAAGGTATGAGAGATCTACTAGTGCATGAGTTCATGTCAAACTTCTTCAAGGAGTTGGAACTTGGAAGGTCTATTTATATTATATTTGTGTTTTTTTTATTGGTAAATGTAAATTTACAGATCAAAACTGGAGTACAGACGAACGACAAACGACATACAGTGGGCGGTCGCAATTCGGCTTCTCACTCATAATAAGTTTAAAAAGACAACCACATGTCGGTTGCTCACTCAGGTCTAAATAAGACAGAAAAACAATCACTAAGAGCGTGATTGAATACAAAACAATCTCAAAAAAAAAAAAAATAATCATTTTAACTCAATCACTTTTTTAACTCAACTCTAATTCAACTTCATTATCATCGATATTCTACTATAATTAAATAATATCAATCAATCATTCTTACACAACACATCATCTTCAATTTACTATTCATCCTCTCACATCATCTTCAACTTCTCTCTCTTACTTTTTATATCAAATCAACTTTAATTATTTTATTCTACATATTATTTTAATATACTCAATAACAACTAACCATATCAGATTTTTAAAAATTATCCAAACCAAATCAAAAAATCCAAACAAAACAAAAAAAAAATTATATCCAAGCATCCTCTAAGTTTTCCAAGGAATGAAAAAATCTATACTCCAAGGGCTTCGTCTCATATTCGGCAAGCATGTTCGGATAAAACGTAAAAATTGTACGATAAACATGAATTTGGATCTTACAGATTATTAGGCTCGGAGGTTGGGATTCATTTTCAAAATTAACGTATTTATCGCATTCAAATGAAGTACACGGTAGCCGCGAGCGTTGCTTTCTTCAACTTGGTTTGTCAACTAGCTACTCGTGCTTCCTTCTTGGAGAGCTCATTTGAGGTCAAAGGCCTATGACGAAGACTAACTCAATCACGAATCACCCACCAAATTTTTGAGCTAAAGGAGCATTCGTAAAATAGATGATTTGATGATTCTACAACGCCTCCACAAAGAGAGCAAGTCGAGTCTTCATAAAAAAAAAAACAGCCCTTTGTATGGAGACGATTGAGCACTCCCAACCAAAAAATGGAGCACTATTTGGGTGTATTGCAAGGGCCCCAAACAACCCCGTTCATGGCACCAATGCACCGCGAGGCCTTAAGAAATCATAGCGACTCCTCGACCCCTCTTGCTCCTCGTGAACTCTAACGATGAAGTAGAGCTTTCGCCTTTCGCAGCTTGCTCACTTCCCGCTTTGTCTACCAAGGTCTGTTGGATCTCGAAAAAATGTTTGAAAATGGGCGAGTCATCCTTGTGTATTTCCCATTCCCACACGGACTTGCCCCCAAATAAATGTGGTGGATCCATTTGTACTATAAGGAGTCACTACGCCAAAAAAAATATTCAGATAACACTTTTGGCATAACGCTTTTTTAAATAAGTGTTATCTAAAAAACACAAAATCCTTAGATAACACTTAATTTTACAAGCGCTATAAGAACAATACAAATACATAACACTTTTTTAAAAAGTGCTATGTCAATTATAACACTTATTCATATTATAACACTTCTTTTAAAGAAGTGCTATATAAATTATAACACTTATTATTTTTACGCAACACTTCATCCATAAATAAAACACTATATCAAATACATCAGAATTAAAAAACATCTCGTGAAACAAAACCCCTCGGTGAAAACTGAGAAGAAAAAAAACCAAATTCGAAGCCCTCCTCAGGCGGCGCATCTTTCCTCATCAGTCATCACTCAATCCCCCTCAACTTTTCGATGACGACCCATTTCAAGAAGAACCGAAAGAAGCGCGACCGCGTCAGCGCCGGCCACGGCCGCATCGGCAAGCACCGGAAGCATCCTGGAGGGTCGTCAAGAAGAAGCTCGTGAATGCAGATAAACCGGTGGCCGTGAAGGCGAAGCTCGCGTCGAAGAATGCTGAGAAGAAGATGAAGGAGTCGGTGCAGGTGTGCTCACCGCTTGATTAGGTTCAATTTTGGTTTAATTGCTTGTTTTCATTTTGCAAATTTGTGTGACTGCAATGTTACTGGATCTGGTTTGTTTGCTATACTCTTTAGTTATTAAAAAAAAAAAAAAGGAATTCGAAGAACCCTACCTCAGAATTAACCCTGTTAGTTATATGGACAAGCATTCATAAGAATTGCTTAGATTTCAGCTGTTGAACATATTATCCAGTTGGCTTTAAATGGGTGTTCGAATTTGAAAAAGGATCAATGCTACTGGAAATATTGTGAAACATATGTTACACTAGTGGCGAAGGGATACAACCAAATGCGTAAACTTGATTACAATGACACATTCAAGCAATTACGAAGCCATGAGCCATTAAACTCAATTTTATCATTAATAGTTACTCACTCATTGTCAATAAAAAGGCTTGATGTTGATAATGAACTTCTCAATATATAATAGGATGTTTGTATTTATATGGAACAGTCTTAAGGATTCCAAAAACAGATAATGAAAGACACACACTTGTCTGCAAGCTTCATAAATCCATAAATGGTTTTAGGTAGGCCTGAAGTGCATGTAATTATTAAGTTATTCAAGTCTTAAAAAACTTTATTTTTCAGTGTCAAAATGTGATCATTATTTTAAAAAAATAAATAAAGAGAGCCTTTATGCATTGTGACCCTTGTTTATGTTTGTGATATCATCATCACTGGTTGTTGTCTATCATATTTATCTTAATTTTTTGGGGGTTTAAGTTTTATATCATGAACAGAGCCTTCTTGAGTCAAACCTTTGAGTGAAAAAAAAAAATGTCATTTCATAATCCAGTACTAATTTGCAGACCTTAGAAGTCTTGCTATTGTGACAGGTGATGTAATTTAGCTAAAAAGATTAATGTAGGGTTATATTATCAAGATTCATTAAGTATTTTTTTCTCATATTTTTATTCATCAATTTACAAGAAAAATAAATATATTAATTTGGGTTTTTCATCTTGTGCATTAAAGTAGAATATACATTAGTTAGACAAAATAACTTATTAGCCTTTGGTAGATTATAACTTAATTTTTACTAAATACAAAGAACTCGTCAATTTTTGTTGTATTATCAAAGAGGTTCTTCTTCTTATCGCCCATGAAGAAGTTTTCTACTTAAAAGAGACAAGTAGATAAAATCAGTAGCTCATTTGTTTGTTGTTCAAAATGAGGCAAATGATAAGTTTGTTCTTGCGCCATATAATACATCCTAATACATCCTAAACTCTTCTTTTATATATATTGTCAATAATACGTAAAAAATTAATACTAAATGCAGTATTAAATGTTTACATTATTTTATAGGATTCATTGGGTGCTGTTGTTTATTAATGAGAAGACAACGACACTATGCTGATCTTTTGCACAAGGATCGTGATCACATCTTGTAGAAGTGTTTAACATGTAAGTATATGTGTTACATTGTATTTGATTTTTGTTGTTTTTTTCATCAACTCCATGATCTTTTTGTTTTTACTAGCGCATTACGAGTTTTTAATTTCATCCTCAAGTCGGGATGATGGTCTTCAAAAGTAAATCAAAGAACTTAAGATGGAAAAAGGTTTAGGTACTTCATGATGTTATTTGTGGTGGATGTTGATCTATATATGTACATACTAACAAATATTTGTTTCTTTTAGTCCCCAACAAGCTAACGGTGTGGATTCTGGGTATTACGTTTTGAAATTTATTAGAAACATACTTATTTGTTATGAAATGATAATCCCGGTGAATTTAAGCTCATTTTTGTTTTTTTTTTTTTCATTCTGTTACTCTCTCATATTTGGTATGTTAGTTAAACTGTAATTAACATTGTTAATATATTTTGCAGTATTTTCCTTGTTAAAAGTGCGTTTAATTATCTGAGGAGCAAGTAAATGAAGTTTGGGAAGAGTTGACTTAATATGTTCTTCAGAGTTCTGTAAGATAAAAACTCTACTAGTGTCGATTCGTTTTTTGTTATTGTTGTGTTAAATTTCAAATCTATTCCGAAAATAAAATTAATAGATAAGGATAGAGATGTTTATTTTAAATTTGTAATTCTGGCAGATACGTCCGCATTATTTACGTACTTCACACAGGTATGTATTTTGTTATGCTCGTATTATATTTTCTTTTATATCTTGTTTATAAGATGTGATGAAATACTTAAATTTGATATCAATACATGTATAACTTTCGTGATGCATGAGGATGTCATGAAAACTTTCTTGCTCAGGATATTGGCTAATAGTGGGTGAATTTTTCACTAGGAATATTAGTTGTTTTTTCTTGATTTTGTTGGAATTTGAGATACGATGTTTTCTTGATTTTGTGCTACAATACACTTGTACATACCCGAGATCAATGTTAAAATTGTTGGATTGTGTTTAGTAAGTTTTTGTTATATTCATGTTTGAGTTGTTTTCTTGTTGGTTCTTGTTTCTTAGTACATGGGGCTTGTGATTTAAGTCACTTGGTTTTGTTTACTATTGAATATTGTATATAATGATTATTATAAAAAAGTGTTATGTGAAAGGTTTATCAGATAACGCTTAATATAAAAATGTGTTATATAAAGATTTTTTACATAACACTTAATATAAAAATGTGTTATGTGAAAGGTTCTTCACATAACGCTTCATGTAAAAAGTGTTATGTGAAAGGTTTTTCACATAACGCTTTTAAAGCGTTATCTAAGGATTCGGTCTTCAGATAACACTGAATCCGATAACACTTAAAAGCGTTATATGAAGAAAAAAAAAGCGCTACCTGAAGCCGTTTTTGGCGTAGTGGTCCTTTTTTGCTTGCATGTTCCAAATAGTGCGTGCAAGCACCACTCTATTCCAAGCGTTCAAATCACGAAGATGAAGCCCCCTTCCAAGCGCAGGAGACATAAGCTATCACAAACTACGAGAGCGCTTTTCGAGCTTTAAGAAAACACCTACATAGTTGGATAATTTTGATACGCACTATAGTAGACAAGTGGAAAATTTCCACCAAAAACACTCGATACCTTGGATCACCGAGCGGGTGAGTTCCACTTTACCGGCGTTTGAGAGTGTAAAGCGACTCCATACCTTGGTTTGTTTTGTTTAGTCACCTTGTTGTAATCCCAAGTAAATGATAACGATGTTTTGTATTTGTTAATTATATTTAGCATCGATCGTTAAAAGAAAAAACGTCTGTTTCCGTTTTTTCTGTTTTATTTGACGTACCAATAGAAAAATATGAACTTTTTTTTTTAATGCAATAATAATGAATTCAAAATAAAAGCTTCATGGTATGAAATTGATTTCATATGGAAGAAGAGTTGCAAACTTTCAAATCCCTAGTTTTGCCCATTTTTTCAACCACTTTATTTTGGGACAAATCAGCATACCAACTATGTGAAATTAGCAATAACTATTGCTAATTTTATGTGTAGATTTGGTTTTAACGATTACAATAAAACTAAGACTATTGTATCTTTCATTTCATTAAATAACCATATATTACCTTTCCTTTTCTTAAATTGTCATACATTATTTTTATTTATTTTTTATTAAAATTCATATATTAATTGTTATAAATATGTATTCTTCTCAGTTTTCATAATTGAGAAACAAAATTATTTTTATTTTATTTTTTTATATGATATATCAAATTAATTCTTTTATAGTAACTTTTGATATCTATATATATATATAATTGCTGACATGTAGCATTTATAAAAACATTTAATAAAACCTTTAAAGTTTTTCCTCCATTTTTGGTTACAAAATTAGTCATTAATAGTTTTTACTTCTCACATTAATACATCTTAATGAGTGTAATCATGTATGTTTCTATTATATTATATAATAATTATTATTAATACCAACTAATAATAATTCACAATAAATATAAATTACATAATTATAAACAATTGTTTCAAGTTATGTATTTTAACATCAATATTATCTTTTTCTTTTGTATCTCATAAAAAATTTCTTTAAAAACAAATAGTAAATTGTTTTAACAGCATAGTTAAACAACTTTAGAATCTTATAAATAATTATTTTTTAATAATATATATATATATATAATTTCTAGCTTAGTATTTAATTTTACCTATTTAATAACACCTCTAAAATTCTTTCTCTGTTTTCAGTTACAAAATTTATCATTAATATTTTTTTACTTCTCACATTAACACATCCTATTAAGTATAATCATGTATTTTTCTATTATATTATATAATAGTTATTGATGTTAATACCAATTAATAATAATTCACAATAAATATAAATTACATAATTATAAACAATTGTTTCAAGCTATTTATATTAACATCAATATTTTCGTTTTCTTTTGTATCTCATGAAAGAATTTCTTTAAAAACAGCTATTAAATTATTTTAATAGCATAGTCAAACAACTTTAGAAGCTTATAAATAATTATTTTAATAATAATAATAATAATAATAATAATCAAACTGTTATTATCTAATGATAAAAAAAATCATAATAATAAAATCATTAATTTATTTTTCCTATCAATCAAATTTTTTAGAATTTTAATATTAAATTCTCAAATATTACTTACTAATATTTTATGTACATTTGTGCATGTGCACAGGATATCTACTAGTATACTATATATGATATGAAAATAATTTCATTCATATTTAAAAATAGAATTTAAATTATAAAATCAAACTAGGAATTATCAAATTAAACTTTAAATTAGTATCTAAAATAAAAATATTATTAATATACCATAAAACAATGTTTTTAGTATATTGTAGAAAATATTTATTTAGATACATAAAATTTTATAAATCTATCATTATATAAAAAGAATAACCTTTTTATGATTTCCCGCCTAAATTTACCGCCAAAATCATTTAATGAATAAATGCGGCGCTGGTTTTTTTGATGGTTCCATTTTTCCTATTTTATAGGTTAACAAAATAACAGATTGTGTTGATATTATATAAAAATCTATCATTACACAATCATATTAAAAAATAATTGATAGCTTATAAAATCTCATAGCATAAATCTACATGAGTTTATCTTTTATTTGTTACAAAATCTCATTGCATACGTTCTCACGAGTTTAAAAAATCTCATCACTTATCCATCAAATTTAAAAAAAAAAAGAAACCAATTCGTAACTACTATTAGAAATCAATTACCTTTAAAAAGAAAAAATAAAATAAAATAGAAACCAATTCATAATTACTATTAGAAATCCATTATCTACTCTAAAAAGCTAATTTTCATTGTTCTAATTACTAATATTTTTATAAATATTATAAGCTAACAATACATCCTCGGTAACAACGTAAAAAGGATAATAATAATTTTGAAATTTTGTGTAATCAAATTTCTTAGATAGAAGTAGCGCCATAAATTCGGTATCATCTGACATAATATGTTTATTAAATTAGGTTTATAATATTTTAGATACTTTAAACAAATTGTTTAGACATTTTTTTTTTCATATTCGTTTATGTATACATACATATATATACATATACACATATACATAATTGATATTAAATTTAAATATTTGTAGACATGTTTTCTTTACAAAATAATCTAAATTTTTTTGTTTTACACAATGTTAAATTCAATTGTTTTTAAATATATTTTCCTTCTAAAATTGTTTAGAAAAATAATATAAAAAATTTGAATACTTTTACATATACTAATATAATATTTTAGATGTTTTTAATATTAAACATACAAATTTTATATTCTCTTATACAAAATAATATAAAATTTATATTCTTATACAAAAATAATTTTACATTGTTTGATCCCGAATCTTTAATTTATAATTATTAAATATTGTTTATCCTCCTCTTTAATTTATAATTATTTTTTTCTTCCTCTTTTTAAATTGATCCCCACTTCCGCCATTGAGTGACTCAAACTCGAGGTCTCTTTATAATATTATTAATTTAATATTGTTGTCGTGCATCGCACGGGATACATACTAGTGTAACTAAAAAGTTATAACAATTGACCAATTGATTGTAAATAAGGATTCCACATTAAATAATATCACTTAGTTATTCTTTTATTTATTGTACATTTATGGCTTATAATTTAACAATATGAATAAAAACTATTTTACTTCTTTTATGTTGTTAAAATCTAAAAATTTTCAAACGTACACACTAGTAAAATATATTTCTGTTCGGTTTTGAAAAAAAAAAAAACCAAAAACGCTCAATTTCACTTCTCTTAGTTTGCTTTTACGCCGCAGTTTTAATCTCGCTCCTGCATCCCGATTAAAGAATATTAACCCATTTACCAGAATTATTTTTCACGGACAAACATTACTTTTTCTATTTAATAATAATAATAATAATACGATGCTATTATATGTATATTGTTTACATTACATGATCTCTAATGCGTAATTCATTATTTGTATTTTTTTTATGCATAATATGATAATGTAATCCCAAACTTATGATTTTCACGCAAAAATATGTAAATTAATTATATTTTTATAATTTATCAACGAATTTTTCATATTGTTTATTAAAAAAAATATACTCACTACTCAACTACAAATTACCAAACACAAAGTAGTTTAATCGAAAAAAATATATTGCCAGATTTCCCAAATAGCCATGTTTTGATAATTTAACTGTTAAAACTTACCTTTCAATTTTTTATTTTATTTTTTTTTTGGTGCAATGAAGGGAGGCCGAAGCCTAACGGAATGCTAACGGGACGGGGGAAGTCACACCAATGATACCATGTTCAAGTCACCTGCTTATGGACGGTGGCGGGACAGGAAGATGGTGCACCCCTAAAGGTTCGAACGCCGCTAAAGAAGCCAGATGATCCGCAGTGAAATTCGCTTTTCGAAACAGGTATCTTGCTATTTAAAAGTTTCTTGCCATTTAAAAGAATAGGAACTTATCAATATCTACACACCATAAGTTTTCCGATGATGGAGACGAGATACATTGAACTATATAAAGAACTGAAAGAACTTAGAAAGCCAACCAAAAATAACTCAGAGAAAGCCAATAATACTCTTAAGTCTTAAGTACTTGTATGGGCAAATACAGAATGTCTATAACATCTGAAAAAAAAAACAAAAAAAAAAATACAACAAAAAAAAAAAAACACTGAAGAACCAACATTGCTCTTAAAATTAACAACAGCCAGGCAATATAGTTGCCACATTTAGCCAGGCACACTAAGTCCCCATAAGAACTATATAAATGAAATATCATACACAACATTATTACCAAGAGAACAGTAATTCATAAAACCAAAAATATCAGATGTAGCAGGGGAATGGGAGATCGAACTGAAGAGAACCCAATGAAAATGAAAAGGTTTATGCAAAAGTTTTTTTAAAAAAAAAACAAATACAGAACTGCTATAACCGATATATGAACCTCAGCTTCCCAAAAATCGTACCTCTTCCTTTCGCCCATCACGTGTACCTTGTCCTTCCCAAAAGAGTCAAGGCAATTTCATCTTCCCCTAGAGATGGCAACTCCAACGTAAAAAATTCAACATAAACAAACCAATCACCTGACCCGATCATCTGACCTGCGAAGGCGAACAAAGCAAGCCAGACGCATCCGACCCAATCACCGAGAGTTGGCACACCGCACACACCACCCCCTGCTGCGCTGGAACATAGTGGGCCCCACAGTAGGGGCAGGCCACATCCCTCTGCCCCCTGTAGATAGGTACATGCGTGGCCCCACACACCACGAACGGGTTCCGAAAGTCATAGTTCAGCTGAGTCGCGTCCTTCATGTTCCTCTCGGCCGCCGTAAGCACCTGGCGGGCCATCTTAGCCTGGCTCTCCTGGGAAGGGTTCGTTTCCAGGAGCCTCCTCGCGAAATTAGCCGCCGTGCTCAGGTTCTGGGCTTTGAAGCATATGGTCATGGCATTCATCAACGCGAGCCTCATGTGCGGTAGCTGGAGGTTGCAGTGCGTGAAGTAAGCGGCAAGCTCCTGCTGGCGAACCGGATTGTCCTTCAGTTCCCTCCTCCTGAGCTCCATCTGCAAACCGAGCACGTACTCCCTCACGACAACAATCAGCTCCTTCACCTCGTCCACCTCCCTACGGGTCTCGACAACAATCAGCGGGATTGTGTGGAGGATGGAGAGGAAGTTCCTCAGGGCCTCGGTGAATTTCCCAGCGGTCGTGGCCTTGTACCCAGCTTTGAGCTTCTCCTCAAGCTGAGAGAAATTGAAGATGAGGGCCGGGGGGCCGCGGACGTTCGGGCTAGCCGACTCACTCCAGCCCCTCTCGATCGCGACCGAGATGACGGGGGCGGAGGTGAAAGCACGTAAGTAGGAGTGGCTGCCATTGTATAGGTCGATGAATTGAGATCTCAGAGGACCAAAATTCCTGATCCCCAGCTGGCGGCTCAGCAAGCGCATGGCCGTGTCGAAGTTGCCGGCGGCCGCGTGCTCGGCGGCCAGAGACGAGCGCTGAACCCAGATCTGGCTCACGGGCATGCCTTGGGTGGGGGCCACGAACACAGACGAGCGCGAGCTGTTGTTCGCCTTCGTCGGGGTCTCGCTGTCCGGGGGTAGGTCGAGGTCCTCGAGGTCCCACCCGCCCTCCTCCTCTTCGTCTTCATCCCCACGCGTGACGAGCTCGTCGACCAGCTCGTTGATCTCACCATTCTGGATGTTGTCCACGTCAGCAATGTCCAGACCCTCGCCCCAGTCGGCATCAGCCGCCTCGTCATAGTAGTCCTCTTCGGTGGGGCCCCTGGTCGCCTCATCCAGGCCGCCCTCGAATATGCCCTTGCTGACCATCAGCAAAGGCCAGTCCCCTGCGCACAGCACAGGGCCAGGGGGTATCAGGAGAGAAGCCCTTTTCCCTTCAGGAAGAGAAGGGACGTTGTCGCCCAGTTCGGCTGCCAGGCGCTCGGCGGTCTCCTGCAGACCGTGGACAGAGGCAGTGATGTATGCGAGAGGAATGTGGCCCGCATTCTCTAGAATCTTCACACGCTCACGAATGTCTCCAAGATACAAGGCGTCGTGAAATTGGCCCATGACATCGTTCTTGACCTCGGCAATTTTCATCATCTTGGATAGCTTGTCTAGATTTCCAGTTATGAGATAGTGGAAGGAGAGTCGCTCGAAGTTTTTGGTCTTCTGGTATGCGTACTCAACTATGCCGGTGTTTCCCTGGCGAAGGGCCTCCACGCCCAGCCTGTACCAGTGATCCTTCTCGTCTATTCTCTTGGCAGATTCAAGTGCTTTCTCTATGTTGCCGCTCTCGAGGGCAAGGTTGAAGCGGGTCCTCTCGTCCTTGACGAAATAGAGGGCGACCTGAGGAAAGCCCTTCTGCTGCAGGTAAGCAATCATGGCCTGTCCGCACAGCTCCGAGTTTTTAATCATACTCATGACCTGGTCGTACCTCTTCTTCAGCAGGGACAGCTTGAAAACATATTCAGTGGGGTCGATGATGATGGGGCGGTTCTTACCGTCACGATCCAGACAAAAGATCGTGCTCCCGTATATCTTGGTGATGTACACAGGGACATCCAGAGTCTTGACAATCCCACTGTCCCCATTGGGAAGACAGTACTTGATGTGCGTTAGGGTCGTGTAAATAAAGACACCATTATCGTGCCAGCCTCCACTCTTGACACGGATAGTCTCGTGAAGGGTACAGCGGTGGGCCAGTTTCTTATCAGCAATGACGATCGAGTGTTTGCTCAGTAAGGCAACACTCTCCATATCCGGGGACCAGACCACATAACGCACGAAAGACGTCTGAAGCTCCCCAAGGACAATCCTCTGCTGGAGATCAAAGATGACGACCCTGTCCTCAGACCTGCACAGCAGATTCCCAGTGCCTGCGTAGAATATGGCATCTGTGGCAACAGGGAGAGGACTTTTTTTCACAATTTCATTTTTCAGGTTCTTGACCACGACATGGTTGGTGCTCTTTTCAAGCACAGCAAACCTGTTTCGCGCAATAAACACTGCTGAGCCCCCGATTCCTCTTTTTGCATCCTGAACTGTGTCGCCTCTACCATAGCTATCTTTGGGGATTATGTAAAGTTCGTAAGATCCACCATCAATGTCTGAGCAGATTAAGACAGCATTCTCCGTAGGACTGTAGGAGAGAGCTCGCGGACCTTGATTTAAGCTATTGGATCCAGGACGACGGATGGGTATGAGCTGAGTGTCCTTCTGGGACGAATACTCAAAGGCACGGAGGAACCTGTCCTTGACATAGAAGAGGGAATCACCGCTAACAGAAAAGGCCGCGCGCTCTCTCTCCAGCTTGAAAACAATCATGCCGCTATCATGACCAGCAGCCAGGAGGTTCATCTCAGGATGAGCCGCAAGGATCCAGAACCTGTCGTGCTCCCTACGAAAAGTTTGCAAGCCGGTTCTTTTCGTCGCATCCCAGACTCGGATGCTCTTGTCTTCCGAGTTTGAGACAATGATATCCTGTCTTGCATGGAACAGAACACATGACACATTGTTCATGTGGCCTCTAAGTGTGTCCACCTCCCATGCCTTCGTATCTGTACACAAAATAAACTAAAAATTATCTGTCTGATTGGATAACTAATATACACACATGCACACACTATACGCGTTTGATAGAAGGAAGTTCTTTTAGGCAGTTCCACGAAAATGCAGAACTAGGTGGGACCTGTTTGAAATAGCAACATTCACAACTTTCTGACCAAAAATATAATAAAGTTTGAGAATAAACCAACATCAAATTCCCCACTCCCACATCCCACATCCAACCCCCAAAAGAAACGAAAGAAAAGAGAAGGACATTAGAGTAGTCCAGTGTCTCTCGTCAAATTAATGGAACACAATTAGTTGACCAGACCCAAGTAAACAAATACGTGATTTCCCAAAAAAGAAGATCAACAAACTTGAAATGTCTAAAGCTATATGAAAAGAAGCACCTTATACAATACATGCAACCACAGCATCACTTTCTAGAAAATCTATAGAGCAATCTAATATATTCCACTCACTCTGCAAATATGCTGCCAAAGAAACAAAATATTCCATACCATTCATGCGCCAGAGTTTAACTTGGCGATCATCTGCTCCAGAAACAATCAAAGGGAGAGTCGGATGGAATGAAGCCCAGTTAACACCTCGATCATGGCCTTCCAATACATACTTCACAACAGCATCAACCCCACCAAAAAAGTCCGTGTTCATTTGAGACAATCGCAGAACGTCATCAGCAGGGGATACTGTTTTCTTTCTCAACGCGCCAATATCCCAAACACGCACGGTCTGATCCAAAGAGGCTGAAACAACAAGGTCTTCCTTGGGGTGAAACGAGGCACACATAACATAATGATTGTGCCCAGTCAACACGGAAATGCAAGTCCGAGATTGCCAATTCCAAATTCTAATTGTCTGGTCATCACTAGCACTAACAATCCAAGGGTACTCATGATGAAACTGAACCGTACGGATGTAATCAAGATGACCGAGAAGAGTAAACAGACATCTGTGCAATTTATAATTCCACACCTTGATTTTATAATCATCGCCTGCCAAAACAGAAATAAATTTCTTAAAGTGATAAAGAAATGGAGCATCTACAAGAGAGCAAAACATATATGTACATTACTACATATATACACACAAGGATATGACAGATAAAGACTAACCGATTATTCATTCATCAGTATAGCCCTTACAGAATATTATTATATTGAGTCAAACCGAAGGCAACAAAACAATGGAGAATGAAGTTTTCCGGCTCCTGAATCTAAAAAATGTAAGATTTTGCAACACATAACCCCCATGTACAGTCACCACAAGGCAAAACCAAAGCACCGTCATCCTTAATATGTCACTAGCTCGCTCCACAATAAAATATGACATCAGACTTCACCTCTTGTCTAGAGTCTCATCACAATAATAGGCCAAATAGACCAGCACAAGGATGAAATGTTCAATCATACTCATAAACTCAAGTCATATTTTTAACACACTTCCCCTGCGTATTCAGTTTCTGAAACTAGAGTATCGCCATGATCACATCCCAAATGGACCAGTTCTAAAATGACATCTGGAACTGGAGAACAACCTATATACATACAGGCCGTTTGGGATGAAGATATAAAACCCAAATACAGCAAAAACACTTCACGTTCATAGCAGGACATTCACAATAAATAAATGGATAAAATCATGTAGCGCTTAATTAAGATTTGGCATGAGAGCATCACATTTATAATAATACATAAAGGAAAAAAAAAAGCATATCAGTGGTACTTAAATCTAAATGTTGTCAAGGGTCGCAAAACGATTTCGAAAAGGCAAATAGATTGTTACCACTAAACCCACTCACAATCAACGAAGCACACATCCACACTGCAAATCTAAATCACTAAAGCCACTGATCGAACAGACTAATCAATGAAACACGAATCAGCAGATCAGAACTCATAATCGCCCCAAAACAAGCTGATACCACATCGCAGAAGGTCAATTCCGATACCAGCGACACAAATAAACAAAACTAGAAGAGCATTTCACAAACAAATCACACCTCCGG